GCTTTGTGCGCTTCACGGTGGTGGGCCCAAGGACCGTCACGAATGGGGTGCGCTCGGAGGCAGAGGCGGCCAGAGAAGAGCGCGATTACAAGCATGGTTCACACCTAAATGCCACTCCCACGCTGGGAGCCTCCCAGCAACTCATAATTATCCCATTATCGGCATTTAGATGTGCCAATACTTAAAAAGTTCGCCGCCCTTAAGTACTAAAACCGTTCAGGCCTCTTTTAGATAATATCCAAGGCCATCATAACCTCAGACTCATTTAAGCCCTTCATCATAATGAGGGTGCGTCAAAGTACAATATGCAAGTCGTGTTCCCCATACATTAGGGACCCAACCATGACCTCACACGTTTCGAGTCGAAACTCCGTTGGGGGGGAGTAGTTGTGAGGTCGTGGTTGGGTCTCTAATGTATGGGGAACACAACCTGCACAATGTACTTTGATGCACCCTCGTTATGATGAGGGGCTTAAATGAGTCTGAGGTTATGATGGACTTGGATATTATCTGTTGCAGCCCTGAAGGGCGCCGCTGGTTTCCGAAGCTTGTGGGGTCGCCACGCCCTGCGGCTTTACTGTTGGAGGTCAGCCAGCCCTCTCCACCAAATTCGGTGGGCTGAAGCGGGGCGCTCGTTCCCTCGGATGCGTGGTGGGCCCAGAACGATGGGGATCGTCCCCCGGGGCCTGCTGTATGTGGCGGGTGGTGGCGCAGCCGGTCGGTGGCTCGCTGGTCGCGGAGAGACCAGGCAGTGGGCCAAGAACGGATTACACGATTCACAGCATGCGCGCGCACAAATCCACATGCGCGATGCCCGATCGCGGGTCCATCGCTGTCACATCAAGACAAGACAAGTCAGGTGCACGTTCAGGCACATCGTCACCATCCACCGTTCACCTACGATCGACCTAATGCCCTTTAATTCCAAGCATCGAACACCCGACCCCCTGGCCCTAAGTACTACGACTTCAGAAGGCTATATCTTCGCCGTTTCTTAACGGAATCGAGCGTTTAAAAGCTCGTTGGAACCAGGAAGCTCTAAATAACACTCATAAAAGGTCGATTTAGCCAATTACGTAATTCCCATTCCAGAAAACCTCAATAACTGCCTGACCCCAAGTAACCACGTCACATTATCCAGAAGATGTCCGAACGGTTTCAGTACTTAAGGGCAGCGAACTTTTTAAGTATTGGCATATCTAAATGATAGCAATGGGATAATTATGAGCTGTTGGGAGGCTCCCTGTGTGGGAGTGGCATTTAGGTGTGAACCATGCTTATAATCGCTATCTTCTCTGGCCGCCTCAGCCTCCGAGCGCACCCCACTCGTGACGGTCCTTGGGCCCACCACCGTGAAGCGCACAAAGCCGCTACCACGCCACCACGCTTGGTGGACGTTCGGGTGAACACCGCGGCACGTGGAGGTCTCCGAAGGAAGTTCCTGTCCGTACAGCACGATTGCGAGGGCATCGGCTGGACGTGGAACAACCCTCACAACCAGTGATGGTGATCATGACGGCAATGGTGATGGTGATGCTCAAGATCACAGTGAAGGCAATGTTCACAGTGATGTTGATGGTGCTAATGTTGCTCATGCTCAAGGCCATTGTCATTATGCATACCACAGGCACATTGGTGTAGAAAAATGAGGTTATGAATGTGGAATGTCTAAACGTGGGTGTGGGCTACATGTCGACAGTCGTGCAAACGAAATAAACAACAAACACCATGTGGAACACTTTTAGTATGTTCCATACTTCAATTTCTGATACATTTGGCACACAAGGGATTATTGGATAATTGTGCTTGGGAATCCAACGCTATGAACGCATTGCATCACTTTCTAAAACCATTGCAAGAAACCCTCTTGCATGCCGCACAATGATGCAGTGACACCGAGCTGGCCTAAAAAACGGCTGCATGATGCCTGCCGCGCCCTCCGACCACCCGCCGGGCTATTCCCTAGAACCATGCCGCTGCGTGGCCGTCGGTGGGTTCTTGCTTGTTGCACACATTAATGAATTTACTCCCATTTCATTTACAAATTTGCAAGCCCACAATACATCCTCCGCGTCGCATCACCTCCCCTCCCTACTTAACCTGGGCCCCGTGCGTCCGAACGGGCCCCGCCGCACGGCGACTCTGCGCGCCTGGCTGCCGCCGCCGCCGTGTGACGCGCCCCGCCGCCCCCCCCCGCGGCGCGCCTGGCAGCCGCGCCCGGGCGCCGCGCAGATCGCCGGCCCCGCCACAAAAACAGTCCCCCCAAAAAATACCACAAAAAAGGGCGGCCGCGAAGATGGCCGCCGCCGGCGGGAATCAGGAGGGGGGCCCAGGGGCGGGGCGCATACGCGGCTTTGCCGCGGACGGCGCCTCCTCCAGCGCCCTCTACGTCGGGGATCTGGACAAGGGGGTCGACGAGGGGCTCCTGTACCACCTCTTCTCCAGGGTAGGTACAGTCCCTTCCCTTTTTCCGCGAAGTCGCCGATTGTCGTTCCGGCCGGCGTGCCGCCGTGTCGGACATGCCTGGCCGCGACATGAGAATTTTTCGCGGATTTTGTTCCTCCAGGTGGGTCCGGTGGCGTCCATCCGGGTGTGCCGGGACGCGGTCACGAGGCGGTCCCTGGGCTACGCCTACGTGAACTACAACACTGCGCTGGACCCCCAGGCGGGTGAGTGGTGCCCATGCGATGGCATCCCGGGCGCTCAGCCGTCGCCTGGGCCGTGTTTGGGCGTGCGCCTGGCCGTGCATCGCATCGGTTGGCGGCCGGCTTGGCGGCGATTGGCGGATTTTCCTTCCGGGGTTGGGTGGGATGCGGGTGACGCGTGGGGCGGCTGGCTGTGGCGGTGCGGCGCTTTGGGGGCTGTGGGTGAGAGGGGGCGTTGCGGAAGATGCACAGAAGTTAGGGATATCGGCAAAATGAATACTTGCGGATCGGCGCTAGAGGCCGCAGCGTGGCGGCGTTTGCTCGAAGATGGGGTGGAGGGGGAGCGGGGAGAGGAGCACCGACGGTTGCGGATACCGGGCAGCGAACTGTTGCGGATCGGCGCCGAAGGCTGCGGCAAGGCGACGAGTTTTGAAAGGATGGGATGCGTGAGGAGAGCGAAGCAGCACAAGAGTTGCAGATGTCGCAAAATAGAAAATTGCGGATTGGCGCCGGAGGCTGCGGCGTGGCGATCTTTTCTGAAGAAAGAAGGGGGGGGGACTCAGTTCGCTGCAAGTTTGGCGTGGGGGGCCTGGAGGTTTGGGGCACAAACGGCGGAAGGCGGCTTTGCGAAGAGTTTAGTGAAGGGGGGCCCATTTTGACCGGGAGCGTGTTGACTTGGACCTCGGTCGTGGTCGCAGGGCCGGCGTGGAGGGGGTGGGGGTGTGGCGGTGGTGGGAGTGGGGTTGGGATTGGGTGGGGGGCACTGCCCGCCACGCATTGCTTGTGCGGTTGTGGGTCCTTCCACGTTTGAGAGGGATCGATTTGATTCTGTGCTTTGGGGTTTGTCTTGTGCTCTGGATCCCAATGGTGGCAATCGGGACCTGGCTCGGCCTCCTCGTGTTCGCCTTGGGGTGGAGGAGATGTGCGTGGCGTGTGGGGTGCTTCATGGGCACTGGGACATGAGCATGCATGCACCAGGTTGGGCGGCTGGTGGAACTGATGGTTGCGTTTGTTGCGCGGCGAAGGAAGACATGTCGTGTGGAACTGGTGGTTATTGTGGTGTTGTGTGTGGTACAGCCCAGAAGGCGCAGGAAAATCTGAACTACACACCTGTGAAGGGCAAGCCGATTCGGATAATGAAGGCACAGAGGGACCCAGCTGCTCGGCGTTCAGGGGTTGCTAATGTTTTTGTCAAGGTGAGTCCTGAAACCAGGTTCTCACTGTCGCCATGTCCTTGCACTGATATATGTGGCCCCTGGTGGTCCAGTCCATCTCCTGTACAATGCACCGAGCTGTCCTTGCTGCTTGCGTTTGTTATGGGTTCTGTCGGAGGGACCGCATCTTGCCGATTTGGTGGGCTTGGCCTTAAATTGATGCCAAGCTCAGGTCCCAGCTTTGCATCAATCTGCATGTCGATGCTGGTATGACCCCAAAACATCACATAATAATTTAGTACAACATCGAGAAGTCCTTGAGGAAAGTAAATGACCAGCCCTGCTGCATTGAGCTGTGAAAAAGGGGACGCTTGAAGCGATGGGAGTAAATGCAGCTAGCTGAGATGTATGGATTTCCTTGAAGATAGAACACTTGAGGATCGTTTCGAACAAGTTGTGACTTACTGATGATGGGCTGTGGTGTGGCCCACTTCTGATCTTATATCGTTTTGTAACAATTGTGGACACTCCCTGGCGTCATTTTGACACTAAGTTTGCCAAGTTTGCCAAATTTGACATGTTCTGATTCCATATGGTTGCTGATTTGCAGGCAAGCTGCAGCAAAGCGTTGAGGGCAAATATTGGCACTGAAAAATCTTAGCAACACGTCTGTATGCTCAACTGTTGCCCACAGCTACTATTTACGGTAGTGTATTCAACCTTTGCACAATTTGCAATTTCAGTGTCACGACTTTGCTGCACATTTTTTGGTCAGACCATTAATTTGGGGGCTTGTGCATCATGGTCACAACTGGAATGGCAACTTCGCTCTGTTCACATGGCCTGAAATGCTGGTTTTGCGCCACAGCGACTTATGCAGGCAGGGCCGCTAGATGCCTTGAGCGCTCTAGAGACCCTCGCGTTGTGGCTGTGGCTGCTCCACATTTTATTGGGACTTTTGCATATGTGTTGTTGCTCCACATAAAACGTCCAAGCATTACGTTATAGTACAGAAGGGTATGATACACACAGTATGGTTGGTTTCTACCTTTCAGCAAGTGAAGAACCTGATCACACAATATTCATTGTTTACAGAAACATAGTCAATTTCATGGATTCGAAGAAATTGTTAAGGAAATCAATGTAAAGGCATTCTTGAAGGCCACAAATTCCGGCAAGTTTATTGTTTCTGGGTACTTGGTGAAGGCACTGTTTTGGGACCTTTGGTGAATATGTGACTATTCGCTGGTTGTCAACAGGGCCTGGACGACGAAATCGACTCCCGCACACTACACGACACTTTCGAAGTCTTTGGCCCCATCACTTCAGCCAAAGTGGCTAGGAATGAAATGGGTGAACCCCTTGGTTACGGATATGTTCAGTATGACTCGCCAGAGGCGGCAGCGGCTGCTGTGCAGCGTGCCAATGGCATGCTCTTGAAGGGACGCCCACTTCATGTGGCACCCTACAAAGATAAATCTGCCCGAGGTGTTGGCAGAGGGTTCACAAACCTCTATGTCAAGTCATTCCCTGAGGATGTTAAAGACACTGATGCATTGCGGGCGTTGTTTGAGCCCTATGGCCCGATAACAAGTGTGCATCTGGCAAAGGTGTGCAGGGTCTCAGCTAGCTGCATCATCTGGCCTTGCTGCATCTGTGTGCTGAGTGTTGACCTCATTGTTGGTGCCCATGTTGCATTGCTGTATTGCACACTGCTGCTGCTGCCTTCTGGTCCGGTGAGCTGCTCTGTGGCTAAGACCTTGACCTGTTCTTGCCTGGCAACTGAAACTGGGTTCTTACTGACACTATGCAGGATGATGCTGGTAACTTGAAGGGTTTCGGGTTTGTGAATTTTGAGAGCCCAGAGTATGCTGTGAAAGCCATGGAGGCTTTGAACGGCAAGGAAATCGCAACTGGCAAGATGTATGTCGGGCCAGCTCAGAAGAAAGTGGTGCGTCAAAAACTCCTCCGTGAAAAGTAAGGACACAGCTGGACCGAAAGCTTTGCTGTGCTTCTAATCCTGCTCAAGTGAGCGGGATGTGTGCCGTCATATGTGTCCGGGGAATTGATGTCGATTGGGTTTTCCATTTGGCCCCTGCTTGCAGCCGCTCAAGCAGCTGGTGCGATGGGGACAAGGCACTGAGCCAAACTCTTGTCGTGATTAACAGGAAATGAGTATATGTTGTGCCCTTGCACCAGCAACTGCACAAGCAACGATGAACGTGAAAAGATATATCCCCTGTTCGTTCAATGTTCCAGGTGTTCCAGGACCCCATCATTGTGCACACCACTCGTGTAGCACAAAGTGAACAGGGCAGATTTCTATTGATGATTTCTTTGAAGTGTGTCCTTGCTTGAAATGCACAATAGCCTGTGCAACAGCACAGGTGCAGGACAGGAACCCATCTGTACAATTCATTCCATGAACATGGCAGTGCATTGCACCTGGTGTGTTTCCATTCAATAATGATCTTGATGTGATGACTTTGCAAACAGCAGTTGCAGCAATGAGCTAGTGAGCAGTTGCAGCAGTCAACATTCTTGCATATCCCACATACCCTTGACCCAGCCAGAAGAGTAGATGTCTCCTTTGTTTTTCAGTCACCCTCCCAACATTGTCAACTTATATATGTTCAAGGTCCTGATGTCTTTTCCAGACAAAAGTTATCCATTCAAGGGTGTTGTATGCGCGTTTTGTTGCTTCAGGTATGAGCAAATGAAGCGAGACAGGCAACAGAGCACACAAGGGCGCAATCTGTATGTCAAACACATCGGTCCGGACCAAAACGATGATGGTCTCAGGCAGATGTTTGAAAAGTTTGGCACTATCACATCAGCAAGGGTGAGTACTTTGCATCAATCTGACTGAACAGCATTCCTCTTTTGGCGATCTGCTTAGCATATGCTTCACTGAAACTTACTACATTCTGGCACAATTGGAGTGTCAGAGTGCTTGCATGATTCTTGCGGTCTATTCTTGGCAGCTGAGATGTGTCATTGGGCATCATTGGGCACATGTGCTCAAGTGAATTTTTAAAGTCACCATGATCAAGAACAGAGCCTCAGTAGCTTTGTATGTGTTATGCCATTGGTTTGTGCGGTGTCCTTTTGCACCGACAAAGTTTTGCTTCGTGTCCCATTTAATCAATCCTACCGTTAGCTATTTGACAGTGAACGCTGCATGCATTACGTGCAGCATGCAGTCTGCCAGCTGCTGCCACTACAGGGCAGGAATGTGTCTACTGTTGTGTAGTGCACTGTGCCACCAGATGCAAGAATAGATTTGGCCATTTGTGCAGTCATCCACACCTACTATTGCTTGGCTTTTTGAGACAAACTCCCCTGTCCCCTGATCTTGTCACCTAGCATGCACTGATTTGTTTCCAGTTAGGAACTGGCGGTGCGGATTCTTGCTTTCTGAAGCCCACGCACTGCCGATTTGTGTTCAGTCCTTTTGGAGTTGTTATCTCCTTATTTGTGCGTGTACCCTGAACCCTCAAAACAAACTGCTTTGCAGACTGTAGTCTCAAGACAAAGACAACTGCATCACTGTCTCTTCAGCCCAGCCAGGCCCCTGTTGTAGTCATGAATGACAGGAACAAGGTTTTTCCCTCAGGTGATGACTGACGATGCTGGCAAGAGCCGTGGCTTTGGCTTCGTCTGCTTCTCCACTGTTGATGAGGCTACAAAGGCCCAGGCTGAGATGAATGGCGAGCAGTTCGACGGTCTGCAGCTTTATGTGGCTGTCGCCCAGCCCAAGGAGGTGCGGCAGGCAGAGCTTGCCCGCCAGCGCATGGCCGGCCTAGGGCTTGGAATGGCCAATGCCCCTAACCCTTACACGCAGATCGTCCCACCAGGGATGGTGCCAGCCCAGGTGTGGCCATCCAACGCTGTGACGCATCCTTACCATGGGAAGCATGGAGGCCGTTACCAAGGCAAGGGAGGCAGCTACCGTGGCAGAGGGGGCAGAGGCCTGAGGGGGCGAGGCTCTGGAAGGGTAAGGATTGTGTGTTTGTTGCCCTGGTGGTCGATGCAGCTGTGGAAACCAGAACAATGGGGTTCTCGCCAAGGGCAGCCCACAATATGGCAAATGTTTCTCCGTGGGCGCCGCCCCCAAGGAGCGGGCATTTTGGCGATGCTTTTGTGTCCTTCAGCACAGCCCCATGCATTCTAAGGGTCCAATTGCCGTTGATCATGCACAGAAGCCACTCTTTAACTGCTCTCACCACCATGTGACAGAACATGACATCTGTGTGCCCATGGCCTTGCTGTGCACTCTGGACACTCTGGTTTGCTCCCAGGCCGTGCTTCAGCTTGTCTGCGCAAGTACAGACAGCTGGCCAAAAGGGGAGCAGCAGAAACTAACATCTGAGTGCCTGTTACTCCTGGCTGTTGACATTCACTTGGCTTGTGGTTGCAGATGCATGGGCCATTCGATGTGGAGCTGCACCCTGCAGGCATGAAGCCGATCAACATCGGTGACATCGAAGGACCAAACCCTCCGGCTACAGGGCTGGGAACACAAGTGCTGGCAGCAGCAAGTCCACGGCAGCAAAAGGTAAGTCCATTGGCCACACTGTCTGACATTTTGCTGTTCTGTTGCCTGCATTGTCTTTTGCTGACAGAAAAGCGGCTTTCCCATCCAGTAGTTGATGAGAATGTGCAGGAGTTGTTTTGTACAGAACTCTGTCTGTGTGGACTGTCATACAACAAGCTGCAGAAGTTAGGAGTGTTTGCCCTCCACCTGAAACGTCGTGTGACCAAGTGCTGTTGCTGCGCTTCAACAAATGCAAGGCTGCACCCATCTGGCAGCAGCAAGCCATGCAAGGGGTGGGGCAGGTGTTGATTGCGGCATGGACGACAGCACTGGTTGCATTGATGTTAAGCAGTTAAGAAAAACAGGACTAGGGAATGGGGAATTCTGGAGTGTTAGTCGCTGACAAGAGTGGTGTACGTCTGTGATTTGCAGTTGCGGTTGCAACGCTGATGAATTGAAATGTGGAGTGTGACTTGCCTTTCAGGATGCCTCCTGCAAGACAGGGAATGCCACTTCTGTTCATGGAACAGGAATGGAGTGTGTCCCATGCTCTGCTTTTTTTTCGATCGCTTCAGTGGTGTAACCTCTTTTTTTATTCCTTGGGATGGTATTCCTTTGGATTTGTCCATTGTAGTACTCAGAGCACCGCTTTTGGACTATCAAGGTGACAATAAGCGAACACACATCCAGAAGTTCCTAAGCCTGTTCACAGCTTCGTTGATCATGGGGGACATGCCTCCATCTACTATGGCTCCATTGTGTGAGAGTTATGTCTTCCTGTGTAACTGCAGTTGCCGGCACTAGCTTGTTTTAGGACTTGCAACATGAGCCGTGGTTGTGTGTGGCAGGTCATGTTGGGAGAGAGGCTGTATCCATTGGTAGCGCAACTGCAGCCTGACCGTGCCGCTAAAATCACGGGCATGCTCCTGGAAATGGACAATGCAGAGATCCTGCTGTTGATTGAGAACCCTGTGGCACTGCAGTCCAAAGTGGATGAGGCTGTGACGGTAGGAACCAATGCCGTTGCTTCTCCCCCCCCCTCCTCTTTTTTCTTTTGGGGGGGGGGGGCACCCAGCTGAAGACAACTGTGTGTGGGATTGTCGTGTAGCAACTGTTTGTGAGAGTGCCGATGCGTCTGTTGTAGGCAAACAGTAGGCTGTCTGTTGCTTCGCTTCCAAATGATGTTTCACGTTTTGTTTCCGATGTTTGCTTTTTCTTCATGAGTGGTCACCTGGTCAAAGAGCCTTTTGCATCGGGCATTGTTTTCGGACTGTTTTGAATGATCTCAGCTTTTTCTTGTTCCCTTCTGAATTGTGCGTCTGTTAAGTATGTGTGTGTGTGCTGGCCCCTACGGCAGGTGCTTGGGGAGCATGGCTTGCTGAAGGAGAAGGCAGCAGCTGCGGCCGCAGCGGCAGCAGCTGGTACGGCAACTGGGGAGGCACCAGTCAATACCTGAGGTCGAAAATCAGGCCCCGATGTCAAAACGTTGTGCAATTTGGGGTATACGCAGTGTGCGAGATTCTTTTGAGTTGGGCTGTTCTTAAGGTTGCTGAAAAGTGGCTGTCGTTTCGCACTTCACACAAGATGTTGGGTTCGAGAAGAGCACGAAATGCACCGGTGGGGCAGGGGGGTCGTTTCTTTGCCTGGGTTTGGGTTCTATGTACTTTTAGATAGGAAAATGCTGCGCCACTGATGGGCTTCCCTTGCCAATCGCATCGGGCAGTAGCGATCGATGGGTGGGTGGGGTGGGGCCAAAAATACGTTAGGCCAGAGAAGTGGAGAGGCCGTTTTGGCGAGCTGTCGATTCTCTTTCGATTTCTGGGGTTAGCATTTTCAGCCATTTCTGTACTTGTCTGTCGTTCGATGGAACAGAAGGGGCAAAGATGCGTGCAGAGGCCGGCGAATGTCGGTTTGGAGTTTAAAATCTTTTGATCATTTCGAAAAGTCTGCCCATCAGAGATCTTTCAAATACATTGTGTGGTATGTTGATTCTCGCAAACAGGGCTGCATTTATTATGCCCTCTAAGCAGCTGTTGGGACCACCCATTAATGGAATTCGGTGCCATTGTGTGCCAAGTTTCAGCAGAAGCTTTTGTTTGAATTCGAATGTATTATATGTTGATCCTCTAAGCAAACGTGCAAGTGTGGGAAGATCTCTCCAGCTAGAGCATTGGTATATGTGGTATTGAACGAGTGCCCAATCTGACATATTACAAAATGGGCTGTAAATTGGCTCCTTTCAAGCTTCGCTCCTATCACATATTGGCTCAACTGTTGGTGACAGCCTGACTGGTCTGTTTGACGACAATGAGGATAAGGGTTGACTGCAGAGCACCATAGACCAAACGAGTCACAGAATCAGATTTGCAACATCTGTTTTGGACGTTAGAAAGATCGTGACCACGCCATGGCCAGACCTCTCTGGAGGGCAGCAGTGAAGAATCGACTTGAATCCAATCAAATGGGAGCGATTTCGAGCGACGAAAAGGCCAGAGACGCACAGGCCGATCGTCTCACATCAGTCGCACATAGGGCCTGAGTCCCTCCCTCGAAAGGGATGCTCACTTGGCCTCGCAGGTCCTCTCCTCAGCCGGTGAGGAGGCCTGGTTGGCTGCAGCGGCCGTAACCAAAACGAGTTACAGACCAAGAGCAACCTACATTGCCAGCTCATCGGATTATCTACAAGTTCACATTCATTTTCAGCCACACACACCGCAGAATATGCTCCAAAATATTCCCTACTATCCGTCTTGTAATGCCTTATACTATTCACATCAGAACTTTTCAACACTTGAAGTCTCATCACTGTATAACCCCTTTGGGCCATTGTTGAAGTATAGCATAATGAATCGCGGTCGATTTCATCTATGCTTTGTTTATACTTCATTTCTGCTATGTGCGCTTCGTCCAAGAATTGATTTGATGGCTGAAGGATTGTCGGGTTGGCCAGCTGTCATTGGCAACGGCGTTGGATGATCTGGCAGAAGGACAGCTGTGGGTTGAATCAAGAGTAGTGACAGCTGTTGTGCTTGACAAGCACGTTGGATTATGCGATGGAAGTGCGGCTGTCGGGTTGAATCACAAGTAGACTGACAGCTGGAATGTGTGAAATGATCGATGGGAATGTACGATGTGTGGTTTGGCGTACAAAAGTTGGACATGGCAACATTGTAACAGATCCTTGTTGGTGCTGGGTTCCGCGCTCCGAGTGCCACAAGGCCGCGTTCCAAACCGCCTGGCAAATCGCAAGCCCCCGACGCCCAAGGCGTGGCTTCCGTGAGGCTGCGCGGCAGGGGATAGCTACTAGCAAGCGTGCGGACGCGGGCCCCGAATGTGGGGCATCTCCACACGCCGGCGCCTTACTAAGGCGCGCAGTGATGGGTCGACACGCCCCGTGAGGGCTGTGCGATCGCGGGCGGAGGACCCCGTGCGCCGGCGAGGGCGTTGGCGCGACGTGGGTTGACGGGGAGCGACGGGAGGCAAAAAGGGAGGGCGCATTATGTGGTGCATCGAAGGAATCGCGAACCGTGGACGGGACTGCTGCAAGGCGGAGGTACTGCGGGTTCCGGCAGCGAGTGCGGCTGCGAACGAAGGCCGAAGGGGGGCGATTTGCGGTCGCCGCTTCTCTGGCTGACTCCGGAGGGGAATCGCCCGTCATTCTGCGCGTGATGAGACGTTCCTTCAACATGGTTTCGGAGCTACGTTGGGCTCCATGGAGATCATTTGAATCATGAATCTGATGAATCTGAATATGAAGATGGCAGCAATGAACGATGATGATCAAAGGCTGCTATATAATACGGAAATTAAAGGGGGATTCTTCCTTTTTTATGCATCAGAACCTTTGTGGTTGACATTGGGCGATTGACTCTGGGAAAGCGCGGCCACTACCGGAGCCCCTCATCCCGCTCGATTTTTAGTATTGAGTAAGGGAGGCTCTCCGGGTAGGGTAAGTGCAGCGGCCACTACCGGAGCCCCTCATCCCGCTCGATTTTTGGTATTGAGTAAGGGAGGCTCTCCGGGTAGGTTTAGTGCAGCGGCCACCACCGGAGCCCCTCATCTCGCTCGACTTTTAGTATTGAGTAAGGCAGGCTCTCCGGGTAGGGTTTGTGCAGCGACGAAGGGGGATTTGCTAATGCACACTTAAAGGGTTTCGAATATGATGCATTCTTTTTTTGAGAAGAATCTGATGGGCCCACCAAGAACCGCAATTTAGTACATTCGATGTTGTGACATCATAGCTACACGTATAGTTCGGAGTTTGCACAGTGGAAGGCGGGAGTGCCCATGTTGAAGTATAGCATAATGAATCGCGGTCGATTTCATCTATGCTTTGTTCATACTTCATTTCTGCTATGTGCGCTTCGTCCAAGAGTTGATTTGATGGTTGAAGGATTGTCGGGTCGGCCAGCTGTCATTGGCAACGGCGTTGGATGATCTGGCGGAAGGACAGCTGTGGGTTGAATCAAGAGTAGTGATAGCTGTTGTGCTTGACAAGCACGTTGGATTATGCGATGGAAGTGCGGCTGTCGGGTTGAATCACGAGTCGACTGACAGCTGGAATGTGTGAAACGATTGATGGGAATGTACGATGTGTGGTTTGGCGTACAAACGTTGGACATGGCGACATTGTAACAGATCCTTGTCGGTGCTGGGTTCCGTGCTCCGGGTGCCGCAAGGCCGCGTTCCGAACCGCCTGGCAAATCGCAGGCCCCCGACGCCCAAGGCGTGGCTTCCGTGAGGCTGCGCGGCAGGGGATAGCTACTAGCAAGCGTGCGGACGCGGGCCCCGAACGTGGGGCATCTCCAGACGCCGGCGCCTTACTAAGGCGCGCAGTGATGGGTCGACACGCCCCGTGAGGGCTGTGCGATCGCGGGCGGAGGACCCCGTGCGCCGGCGAGGGCGTTGGCGTGACGTGGGCTGATGGGGAGCGATGGGATGCAAAAAGGGAGGGCGCATTACGTGGTGCGTCGAAGGAATCGCGAACCGTGGACGGGACTGCTGCAAGGCGAAGGTACTGCGGGTTCCGGCAGCGAGCGCAGCTGCAAACGAAGGCCGAAAAGAGGCGATTTGCGGTCGCCGCTTCTCTGGCTGACTCCGGAGGGGAATCGCCCGTCATTCTGCGCATGATGAGGCGTTCCTTCAACACCATCCAAATCCAACCAAATCCTCCATCTAGTGTCCAGTCATCCCACATGTTCCATAATGTACACATTGGACACTGATTCCCACTAGATTTCTTCACCTAAAGTTCCAGCAAACCCTAATGCCATCATGCTGCCGCTGCTGACCTAGAAGGTTCCGAATATGGGTTTCCAAATACATTATATTCTGTTCGGGTTGCCAATTAATGGGGCTCATCAAAAGACTTAGTAAGATAATGATATCACACAGCTGGCGACCCGTGAGGTCCAGATTTGGTTCAGAGGGGATGCCGACAGCCTCAACACCTTCGCCATACCGAAAATCATCCAGTAGTTTGGTGCTCAATGAGGCAGAGACCCCAAAACATCAATCAGGGGTGCTCTATAACTTTCTCGCAATCCAAGCCCAAGGCACTCAGAATGCGGGGAGACGACTTTGATGATGAAGGCAGATGATGGCAACTGCATCATATGCTCAAAGAGTTCACTGAGGTACTGTAAAAATGTGGAGCACAACGTCAATACATGGCAGCATATCACACGGAGACACATGAGCTAAACATACCCCGAATACGCCTAGGAGAAATGAGGAACACCCATGTTGCCACTGGACACATGTGTTTGTTTTAGAGGTGGCCACTCAAAGATGCCATCCGGTCCGTTAAGTCCGGTTCGTTAATTTTTATCAGCTGTCCGTTAAATTTCGTTAAAGAAAAAGGGATAAAAATTCAGAAAAAACGAAAAAAATCCAAAAAAATCGAAAAAAACCCAAAAAATCACAACAACTGCGGCTAGTTGAGAATCTAGTATGCATAGATTGAAATAAAATACAAACATACCATCTAATAGCGAATTCCATAAACTATAAGTATGATTAAAACCCAAAAATCCCCAAAAAATCCAAAAATCCGTTAATTTTTGGTTAATTTTTATCTTTTTTCGTTATTTTCCGTTAATTAACGGAAAATTAACGAAAATTAACCTCTGTCCGCTATTAACGGATCCGGGTGGCCACCTCTAGTTTGTTTAGGGGCAGCCCGCCTAGCAGCCAGCCGTGGATCGTGGCGAGACGGATCTAGGAGTGGCGCGTCGAGGCGCCACATGGTTGTTTGATGGGAATATATCCAGTGGGGCCATAACGTGGTTGCTGACCATAGGAAGTATGGTTGCTTGGTGGGAATGTGGCCCTTGGGGCACACGTGGTGCCTGTTTGTGGGCAATGAGGCGTCGTGGGTTGAGTTGTGGTGAAGCAGCGGGCGTGGCAGAAAGATTCCGGGTATCAAAAGAGCATTTCCTATGAATGGGAGGTATT